TGGGGAGAGCTTGGGTTGTTTACAGAGGCATTAACTGTCCCTTCCCCTCGGAGCGCGTTCATTGGGACCTGCCTTCCCCCTCGCAGCGGGGTTTCAGAAGGAGAATTAGAGCTGACAGCATAGCCTGATCCGTTTGGTTCATTTGTTATTTTGGGGGAAGCTGGAGCTGGCACTGCACCTTGTTTACAGAGGCATTAACTGTCCCTTCCCCTCGGAGCGCGTTCATTGGGACCTGCCTTCCCCCTCGCAGCGGGGTTTCAGAAGGAGAATTAGAGCTGACAGCATAGCCTGATCCGTTTGGTTCATTTGTTATTTTGGGGGAAGCTGGAGCTGGCACTGCAGGTAAAACAAGGGCTAGTGTCAACCAGCAGCCCTGCTGTGAGAGCTCCAGCTCAAGCTGTCCACATTTTCAATCCAGCAAGAGCAGCAAAGATCATTACACCCCCCTCCCAAAAAAGGGTCTTTCAAAACAAAACCAATGCAACAATAAGCACTTTAAATGAGCTTAAAACGGTTAATGACAACAAAAAACCCAGGATCCGTTTCCTCCTTAGACATCATTTCAGTGAACACTTCCTTAGCAGTTAACTTTCCCTTCAAGCCCTGTGCAGCCTCCTGTCATTAGCCAGAAGCACCCGTCATACCCTGGTCCAGCCTAAAAGTAGCTATCGATTCTATTGCTGTGGACCTTAAAAGGAAAAAAAGAACAAATTACTGGCGAGTTACATAATACGCATAGCAAAAGCTGGCTTCTTTGTCATATGCTCCAGTGATTTGTCAAACTTGCGCGTGCTGCAAAGCTTAGGTCTAACGGATGTCTGTGAAATACCAAGCATCCCTAACGTCTCAGTTTGTGCAGCAGCAGCATTTTTCATTTCTTTCGAATTGGCATTAGATCTTGCATATTCTGTGTGTGCCAGGACACTGTGTCCTGAACTCCCCTCCATGAAGTAGCCTTATTGGTCACTACTGAACAGCTGCTATATTTTAACTTATAGGGAGCTACACTTCCGTTACGGCTTGGATCTATATCGCATATTAGTACCTAAAGGTGCTCTGGTTAAAGCCACAAAGCACAACTCACTTTACCAGCCTACCTAAGTAGCTCTGTCACCATAGTAAACAAATGTTGTTAATACTGGTATTTTTTCCTCACCCACAGACCCAAAACGTTCATCTGAGCTTAAAAAAAGAAAGTATGTTTTCTATCCCAGGTTGTAAACACGAATGATTGCTTTTCAAAATTGGTTTGAAAGGAAAAATGTGCATCACATTAAAAGAAGATAAAGTACTGGTTTGCTTTGCAGTTGCCTCAAGTGCTGCCTAAAAAAAGTCCTTATACCATTTATGGTTTTGAGTTCTTAAGCTAGTTTTTGAAGACTCTCTAACAGGAGAGAGAGGACCTATGCCTGTCTAAGACTCAAGTACAGTTAGAAATAGCTGTCAGTTTAAAGGCACTAGTAATGGCCTAATCCCATTTCTCTAGGTAACTACTTTTCAGAGTGTGACTTTACCGTCTTTGAGACGGAGGGTGAGACAGCAGCTAAAGAGTTAATGGCTGATGTTCTTTTCACTTTACTTTCTAATCAGTCTTAACTGTTTCAGCAGTGCACAAGGAGTTGCTTTTGTACTGATGCTTAATAGTAATTTCAACCTTTCCATACAGTAGCAAGCGTGTTTTGTTTGGCTTTCAGCATATATTTAACTGGTAGTCAGTTTAAAAACAAAAACAAAAAAAAAACCAAACAGCTTACAATTGGTAACTACAACATACTGATATAGCTTGTGGCTAAGGGGCGGGGGTAGAAACCCAAAACCTTCATGTGATTTTTGTGTTATAACAGCAGTTTTTTTCCCTAAGCAAAAAATCTCCAAAGAGACTGTTCTTAGAGTTATATATTACAGTATATGCATTCAGTTCCACCCAACTAATGGTGTTGTGTACTAAAAAAGGCAGTTTTGTTCAGATACTAAATCCCCCACTGTTTCCGGTGACATGCATGTGTCAGATTATGTGCAGAAGATGCACATTTGTCATGACCTGGATTATATCTAGCAGAACAGAAGTGGTGGAGGATTTATCATCACAAATCAAATTGCCCAAAAATCAGACTTCAAAAAGAGTATAAAGAGGAACATTACGCCACAATAATTTTTTTTTCATTTGTTCAGTAAGGCACAATTTTTGCAATTTTAAAATTCAGAAGGTTTTTGCATTTTCATCCCTTTTTAGTTGCACCCATAAAGAATCAAGAGAAAACTAGGGGAGAAAGGAGAAAAAGAGTGAAGTATAAAAAAAAATTCTTATAGCTTCTGGATCTATAGCTTTAGTAACAGAGTTTCATGTGCATTTCAAACCCAAAAGCCAACTTCCAGATCTGTGACTGTTTAGATCTAGAATTTGGCTCTAATACCCAGGCTGCATTCAGTCAGATGTGTAATTGTGTTTAATATATGCCTCTGTAAAACACTTGCATAAGACATCCTCAAAGAAAGCTTAATCCTCTCTTTTTCCTCACTTCTGCAGGAAACTATGCCCCAGACGCCAATATTTTCCAGCATGCTTGGTTCCAGTTGTAGTGGACAAGTGCAGCCTGATATGGGAGAAAGGTGTGGTGATCCCGTTTATCAGGATGGAAACCTTGTTTCTGGTTCACTGGAGGCCTTGATAGAGCGCCTAGTGCCTACTATGGACTATTATCCAGATGTAAGTAGACACTGGAGAGTTTTACTTCCCGTGGCTTTCCTGCCTTAGGATCCTGATTGGTGCTTCCTCAGGAAGTTCCACCCCTATCTGAATCAAGATTAAGATACAGGCTAAAGATGTATTTATTTTGCTTACAGTAACCATTTGCAAAAGATCTTGCTCACTGGGGACACTTTCCATTCTACTTCTAAGCAAAAAAAACTTATTAGAAAGAAAGCCCTGTTGAACCCAAATCAGCACCTTAAGAACCAATTAAAAGCAGCATTCACAACAGAATTTTCAATCCCTTTAAGCTGCTTTCGCTCTAATGCGGCCAAGATTACCTAGGGAAGTGGATGAACTCTTTCAGCTGAAATCAGCTGTAGTTCTTTTTTTCAGTGTATCTCCTAGTTAGATCATCAGAAAATAAAAACAGAATTTAATTAAAATGCTCCCTTTCTCAACACATTTTCATTGGCCAGCACTGTAATGATTTATGAGCCTGGAAATGATATTACAACTGATTAAACATCCTCACCGCAACGCACTAAAGTAATACCATGTATAACTACAGGGCATGCAATAAGATTTTGAACCTAGGATGTTATTAAGTAATCCCTTTATTACTTAAAATGACCCCTTATACCTATTAATGAAAGGTTTTACTTAAAGAAGTTTCCAAAGATCAAAGAGCTTATGTAGCATATGTGCCATTTGAGCGCTGAGAAAGTGGCAGCTGTGGTAGAAGCATCCTAACTCTTGGTTTAAAGACTAACAGGGAAACCAGATATTGCAATTGGTGTTGACTGATACATTGAACTTGCACTTGTGGTGGTGGGCTGTGCTACGAAATACACCTTGTATCGGAGTTCCTCAGTCTACTCTATGTAGAATTTTTTACTTTGGTTAATTTGGTTATTACGTTACCATAAAATCTCCCAAAACTTGCACATACTTGCTACCCATCCTCCCAATCACCATGCATAAAAAAGGCACACCCTATATGAAAGTTCAGTGAGTATAAGCAGCAGATTGCCAACAGTTATCAATAAAATATTAAAAAAGAAAAAACAGGATGCATTAATTTCCCACTTCAAAGTAATCCTAAACCTTGCATTTAAATACACTTACGTACAATTGCACTACGTTTGACAGATGCTGACTTAGTACCAAGTCCTTAGAAGACACAGAGGGGCAACAATTGCTTGGCATTAAACCTCCATTTCAGCACAGAACAGATGAAAGCAGCAGGTAGAGCTTGAAGAGAATGTTGAAATATCATGTATAGTTAAATATCATGTAAGAGTTAAATAGCTGTAGGCTGCTGTAGTTAAGCTTTCCAGGGAATCAGTTCCTTGCCTTTTGTTTAATATCAAAGCACATTTACTTGCTGTTTGGATTTCTTCCAAATCTAGCTAATCTTTAAGTAGCTGCTCATGCATGTCCCTTATTGTAACATGGGATCTATTTATAACACAGCTACTCTGAAAATGGTTCCATAAAGGTGAGCATTGCTTAAGGGGTCTAAGACTTATTTTGGAATCCTGCTCGTTTCCATGGTGCTATCCCGTACTCTATGTGAGAGAGCATTGCAAACCAAGTAGTCATAGACCCCACTTTGGGAGGCTACAGTTTAAACAGACAACAGGCTGACAAGGGAGAGTGCTACAACAAAAGCAGTCAAAGGAACTCCTGGGAAAACAGTATTAAACGAAATTTATCCCCTGTAGAGCAGGGCATATTCTTTTAGTTAAATCAGATCACTCCATTAATTTAGCTGAAAAGGTTAATTATAAAACAAGTAGATAAATAAACTTTGAACAACATAAAGAATGAGCTGTATTTAAGTCATCTCCAGATCTAAGTTTTCTATTTCAATTCAGTTTCATGTTTGTACTTAATTTCATGCTCATTTCTGTTTTTAGGGAAGTTGCCATAAAGGGTTAGAGAGGTTGTCATTTACTCTGATATGCTGTCATAAAAGAGTAGCCAATGTTGGATGTTCAAGAGAAAGGTATCAACACCTCTCAGTCTCATGTCACTGACTACACATGCAAAGAAAGGCTGCAAGGCATCACCAATGCATTCTCACCAAGAGTCACTATTGGAAATGTCAGCAGAGATTACCTTAGTGTCAGAGTGGCATATTTGTAAGCTGCTGAACAGGAGCTGTACTCACCCAAACTTATGGATTACTACATCTGAGCACCATGCTTAGAAAGCATTCCTG